CCAATCCGATCTCTTTTCATAATGTTTCTAACTTGATTATCAAATTCAATGATATAGTAGTACCAGCATAAAATTTCGTTTTGATTGGCCTTTTTGGTTTGATCTTCTGCGTCACAAGCTTTCTGGTACAAGCTGGCCAAATTTAATAAGACTTTACTTTTCGATACAGAGAGTATAGTTGTCTTACCATTATTTTCGGTCACATGATTTTCACTGACGGGCGTCAGCAAAATTTCAGTCGCATGATTTTTCTCAGATGTTGAAGTAGCCGTGAAATCAAATACATCCTTAACAATATTCTCTGCTACTTTCTTATGTAATTGAGACTTTTTGTCCTGAAAAGACACGTCCTGGCTGGATAACTCACGGAGTTTCTTCTCTTTATTGTGTTTCATTATCCCATCACTAACACTTTTCTTATATGCTTCATCCAAGAAATCATCTGTCTCTTTATCTTCCATAGGTTGACATACATCAGAATTGGATGTGTTATCAGACGTATTTGATGGCCTTGCCAGGTCCCTTTGGGACCCCATCTTTTCTAGTTGCCTTTCGGCGATAGCATTGTTAGGATTCTTAAAAGAACTGGTATTAGTTGAAGTTTGTTTGATTTCTTTGATATCGTCATCTAATTTAGCAATAAGGTTGGTCTTTTCTTTATCTCTCTGCTCTAAATTTGTGAATCTGGCTTCATGTTCTTCCAAAGCGCGCCTTAATTTCACATTCTCAGCTTTAACTTCGATATTCTCAGCCTTGACTTCAGCATTCTCCTTTCTAAGTTCAGTAATCTCGGCTAAGAGCTTCGAATTTAATTCCCTTAATGAATCAATGGTGTGAGTATTTGCCATTATTTTTTATAAAATATGGATATATTCAAAATAAAGAAATCACGTGGTTTTCACTGACGGTCGTCAGCGAAATTTGCAAAGAAAAATTTTTTTATTAATACTGCCTTCTCGCAATTTTCGCTCGAAGCCAGAGAGTAAGTGATCACTATATGCTGAACACATATGCCCAAGAAGGTGATTACTTTTTTTCTTTTTTCGAGCTTGTGAGAGTGAAACTAAAATACATGACGTCTATACTATTGTCTGCGGACTAATGCCTGCGTGAAAAATTTCTCGCTATCACTTTACCAAAAAATTCTCGATCATACGCAAGTTAATAGACATCGATAGCAATACAATAAAACGAATTCACGAAATACACATGCAAAACTAAACGCGATTATGTATGCGAAATCAGCCACCAGGGCCAGCTTTATTAATATAAAGAATATAAAAATAAAAGGAAGATAAAAAAATATACAAATAGAACTTGCATTTCTTAACTATTCCCCATCCATAGAAGGATGTTCTGGAGTAGTCACAGTAATATTTGAACTTGAACTTCGTTTCTTGAGACGTTCTGATCTAATTCCCGATGAATGAAATAATAAAGATATGTTGACAATCATAATATTTCGTAAAAGCAACAATGCTTCTACAAATTGCAACACATCATCTTCATTGCATAGTCGTACGGGAATTTTTACTGAGCGGAGGTGAAAAAGGCGATGAATGTCATCATCATCTTTTATAAGAATATTTAAGTGCATAATATCTGCCGCAACCTGTATACCAAGAATTCCAAATTCATTTCTGACAGGTCTGCAACTTTTATAAACATAACACATCCCATCGTTCATTTCACGCCATAATTTCACTTCATCGTCTTTTTTCTTACGATCAGTGCATATTAGACGCGAGCACTCAATATACATAAGTTCATATATCTTTTCGCGACACATCTCTAAAAACATTATGTCAGGTTGTTTACCTCTTCCTCTTCTGTCTGCACTTGCCAAACTTTGCCTTTCGGCACTAAACAAAAAATATAAATTGGCTAATTCTAGTTCATCTAATTTAAAATAAAGTTTATCGAACTTACCTGCTAAGAAAAGCATATTTTTTAATCGGTGGCTTGTTTAGCGTGGCACGAATGAGAGGAACTATTACATCAGTTACATAGGTCCCCTCACTCTGATCACTCGCAAACTCAGCGTCAAAAGCTGGGTTCATCCAAATACTATTTAAGGAACCGAGAATATCTTTTACAACATTTGCTAGAGTCGCCTCATCTTCCTTCCAAGAATTATCATGAGAAAGCTTTCGTGGTAAGCCCTCCATATCGTCATCGTGAAAACTTTCCACAAAGTTAGTACATATATTTCGAATATTGGGAGGTATTCTTACTTGCATCTTATTAAATGGCTCCATAAAAGATTTTTCTGACGCCTCTTCCAGGTTTTGAACTAATTTAGACTCGTCGCTTATCACCTGGCTAGCAAGTGGATCATTCCATTTTAAATCTTTTATTGGTAAACTATTCAACCTCTCGAGTAATTCAAAAGCGTGACCGGAGGAACTTCGCTAAAAAATGATTGAAATGTGAATTTCTTCGTAAATATTTAGCACAAGATAGCTCAGTAGCATAATTAGTGTATCATACTTACTTTAAGTTTCATTTTTAAGTCACCTATATTTTCAGCAATTTTTTGTTTGTTAAGGTTATTTTTTAATTTCGCTTCTTGTACATTGTTAACACTGCGAACCCCTTCAAAGGCATCATTAAACTGGCACAAAAAAAAGATATATATGTTAGATTTCTTGCTAATACGTATATATTTAGTTTAATACCACAAGCTTGTGTCATCAGAATATTATAACAGGGTTGCAATTTCTCTGTGGCCTGCAGATCCATGCCACCCCATTTTTCTTCATTTGAATTTCAAAACTTGCAAGACTAAAGCCAGAGCGACCTCATGCGTCCCCAGGTGTTGAACTCCCGGTACTAACAGACTAATGGACGCCCAGGATTACCTCTATTTCTTATAGAGTTGAATCTACAATAATAGGCTAATAGGCTCTCCCCTTGACTAAAGCATTCACAAATTCGAGAATCCAATATGGGAAAGGCGCCGTTCATCAGATGACATTGAAAAATATTTAAGAAAACCACCAACCTGTGTACAAATTCTGTTCAATCTTTCCAATGCCTCCGAATCCTCAAAATATGTATCCGCTGACTCATTAACAGCACGAGTTACAATTTCTCTTAATTCTTCCCGTTGAATTGAAGGGTCGTATTCGATTGCCTCATTAATAACGGAAAAAGGTGTAATGTAATCTATCGGAAAAGTGATAAGAAAATTATAAACTATGTCAAACATTGTATCAGACATGGTTCAGTAATAATATAATATTGTAATGTAAAAATATGGTATGAGTTAAAATGGCAAGAGTTAAAATCACTAAAAAGCGACAAATAACAATAAATCCAAGATACTGCCCTTTTCTTTCACCTCTTCCCAAAACTCGAAAGGTTAGAAAGGTTAGGCAGAAGTAAAAACACGCGCTCTTACAGCAAAAAATTTCTACGATAGAAGTTGGGGCATGTATTTCCACGCAGAGAAATTTCTATCGATAATGCAAAAGAATTTTATAAATTATGCAAGTGTATGCATCACGAGATATGGAGCCATGTAAGGTTAAAGGGACTTGATACTCCATAGTACATGCATACATTGTAAATTCATAACATATGTGGCATGAGTTAATTGACCGACTTTGGTTAGGGACTAATTCCGATAAATGGCAATTTCTACTTGTGCCCCGTCTCACAAATTAGTTATGCATAACGATAAGCTGGGGTATCCAGTGTACTATGTAGATCAAAACTATATATAGTCCTATATGAAAATTGAATAGTAAAATTTTTTGTGTAACAATCGCGAATATCCGCAGTAAAATACTATAATTTTGAACAAAAATTATTAATATTGCTAAAATATTTTAAATTAATAAAAAAAACGCTCCATTTTTCTAAAATATATATTCCGTCGAGCAACTGAGTGAAATTTTTTAATAAATTAATATGTAAGTTATGGAGGAGATACAATTCGAAATCTAGTAGTGTTTAATAGTCTTTTCATAAGAAAAATATCAAATTTCAAATCGTATCTCCTCAAAACTTTACATATTAACTTGACTAGATATCTTACCAAATTAATCTTTGAACTTCAAATTTGAATAAAATGGTGCGCTTTTTTAAAAAAATTTTTTTATTAAAAATTTATTTAATTTACCAGATATACTTAATGATTTCACGTGGTTACACGAAGCTGTACTGTAACTATAGTGGATTTAGCAGCCATAAAGGATGATATCGATATTTAAATAAAAGATGACCTGTCATCTACATAGCTTTTTAATGAATGTAAAGTTAATGTTAAACAGTAAACTCATAATAGTTAGTAAAGTAGGAGACCTTCCGGGTAGAGTTCTTACCCGTACCGACCCGGGTTATAACTCGGGTCGGGTCAAACGGAAATTCATAAAGTTTTTTGATGTAACGATACTTTAATTAGGGCTGTTAGTATAGAGAACAGCTGTACTCCGATTATTTAAATTGGATTTTGTATTGAAAAAAAATTTTCAATCTTGCTCGTGATTTGAGTTTGCCCATTTTCTACACCGGGAGATACGTGACCCCTCAAGAAGCTGACCTGTATGGGTTAGATGACCCGGGTAAGAGCTTTACTATTTAGTAACTATAATGTCTTCTACCTATATACGTAGTAGTGTTTTAAATTCAAACCTGTTTAGAGCAATTTTCGACCCGTGGCCCGTATGGGTCAATCGACCCAGAAATTTGAGTAATCGATGATAGTAAATTGGAAATTGTGAGATAATAATGGGAGAAATGACTTTGTTCTTTCTCTAAACAATAGTCACAAAGTGTAAGGCAAGTCATCAAATTGAAAATTTCGGGTTTATGATTGGTAACCGGTTGGGACAGTATCATGAAAATGTTTGTAATGACCTATCTGAAAGCTAATCATATTAGGGAATAAAGTGCTAATTCCCTAGAGCTATTGTGAGTAAATAAAATAATAGAAACGATCAAAAAACAGTAGTAAAATCTTATTTTCTAAATGCCATTTGTGACTTTTATTAGAGATGAGTCTTTTGTTTCCCGTCGCATAGGCCGTTCGATTTAATGATTTTCAGACAAAAACAAAATATTTTGCTAAACTGATAGTGGTAAGGTACGTACTGTTTGATTTGCATGCTACTATTTAATTTTGGCATAGATTTGATGGACCATAGGAAAGAGTGACTAGACTTATACATTTTCGGATATTTTTCATTTGAAAGATCACCGAAAATGTATAAGCCTAAACGCTCCAAAAAAGGTCATAGCTGTTTGTTTTATTAAATTAGTACTCGCTGAAATAAAATTTTAGACAATGTATCTTTAGAACAGATGTTTGTTCGTTTTTTTTTGTTTGATTTTTATTGATATCATTTAAAAATATTTAAGAATGCTTTTGTATGATCATCAGTAATGATTTTATTAAATAAAGCAATTATATGTACTTCGATAATTAAAATCTGCTTGCACGAAATTGTTTGTTAAAATGTAATAAATAACGCTCGTTTTTCTGCGATTCAATGTAGAGTTTAGAGTTAATACCTGGATCCGGATCCTAATC